CCGCGGGGAGAGAACGTGGGCGCAGTTTCGGGCAAAACTGATCGAAAGATTTGAGCCTATAAATTCGGTGTACATGGCGTGGTAGCAGATTCATCGGCACAAACAACTCGGGAGCGTGGCACTGTACACCTAGCAGATGGAACAACTTTTTAAGCGCATCACCGACCTGACCGAAGGCGACAAAATCCAAGCGTACACCAAGGGGTTGAAAATGGAGATTCGTCGCCGGTCATCGCCGCGAACTACAGTAGCTACCGCGACATGGTACGTGCAGCCGAGCGATACAACGCGTTGACGCATGGTCAACCCGAAACACGACGCTACGTGCCAAACCGATCATTTGGCACGGAGCGATCGGCACCCCCCACGTTCGCTGAACCGATGGACATCGACAGATTTGACGCGAAGCCGCGGCCGACAAAATGCGAGTTTTGCGGCGCAGCCGGACAGCAGATCCTGTCGTGCCATAAAACGAAGAAAGCACACACGGACTTGCTGGGCGGCAACAGTGCAGCACCCCCGAAGTAAAAAATACGGGAATCGCCAGTAGCCGCGGATTGACCTGGCGATCGCGTAAAGATCCGAAAAGAGAAAAAGGGCGACGACGTGGCGACTTCGGAGCGGGCGAAAAAAGGAGGAAATGATGGCGCGAATATAAAACGTCACGACCGGCCGGCAACAGGGGAAATCGCCGAGGCAGATAGAGGCTCCGCGAGAAAAGACTCTGCACTGACCTGGAAACTCTAGCCGAACACCCACGAAAGTAGGAACAAGTTGTCTGCGAGCTCTCGTGAGGACGTCACGGTTCGACGAGTCTGTCTGTTACTACAGAAGTTGCCCCCACCGAGGTACTGAGGTATTTTCATCCCCGCTATTCCTCAACCTTGAGCCCCCTCCTAGTCGCCCCGGTAGCCCCCCCCCCTTCGCGTCCTGTCCCATCAGGTGTGTCGCACGTCACCCCGCGGTCGCCTCCCCCGCAGCGTCCAGTCCCTGTCATGTTTGGGGGTGCGGGAGGTGCAGCTGCGGAGGGTGAAGGTGCTGGGGCTGCTGGGTACGGCAGCTTCGAGTCAGCGGCCTCGCCTCGCGTCACCCCTTGGCTTCACGTCCGTCCCGCCGTTCCCTCCTCGTTCTTCTCTGCCGCCGGTCGCCGCGGAGCCTGGGGGTGTTCCTGCGGGAGATACTGGAGGCACCAAGGGTGTCGCTGGTGTGCTGTCACGTTGGTCGACTTGGCCACAGCAGGCTCGACGACGTTCGTGTTAACGGGAATGGAGTGTTGGCCCCGCCCTCGCTTGGGCGACGCCGACGTCTTGGTCGGATGTACGGGAGAAGCAGCCGACCGTTCGCAGTGAGAGAGCTGCTCGACGGGCTTCGTCGAGCAGCAGTGGATTACTGTGGTGTTGCCGTCGACCAGGGGTGCTCGAGGGCCTTCTTCTGCGGGGCAGGTCGACGGGGAGGTCGTCGACCTGCACAGGCCTGTCACGGGGCTGGAGCCGTCGACCCGGGAGCTTGACGGCTGCAGACTGACCAAGCCGATCGACGGGTGGGCCGTCGACCAGGAGGAGCAGTCCGTCGACCTGACATGTGAGGGGATAGTCGACGAGGGGAGCTCGGCGACAACAGCTGACTGTGCTGGTCGACGGAGGGTTCCGTCGACCAGAGCACTTGGTAGTCGACCAGAGCACTTGGTGGTCGACCAGGGAGCACTTGGTGGTCGACCAGGGAGCACTTGGTGGTCGACCAGAGCACAGGGTGGTCGACCAGGTCGACCGGGTAACCTGCTTGGCGAGTTCGGCGGAGTCGAGGTCGCGGTGACGAAGGCGATTTCGGGCTTGTATCCTGAAGTCGATGTGGCTCGTTAGGCGCAGACAACTGCCGACGGATGCACAACGAGGCAAGTCGGGCCAATCGTCTGCGCGCACCTGCGAGCGTGCGCACTGCTGCCATCTACGGGTGCAATGCTGGACAGCCGCTCGACCTGCAGCATTGGCACGCCGTCGACCTGCTGTGTTGGCGGTCGCCTTTCTGCAGTGCTGGCGCTGCTCCTCTATGCAACCCTGGCAAGCGGTCAACCATGTTATGCTGGCGGTCGACCAGGCTAGCTGCAGAGTTGCTAGGTGCCTGATGTAGTCTTTTCTGTCATTGCTTGTTTTACCATTCTGTAATGCAATCTTTGCCTAGTGAAACTCTTGCCGATTTCTACCGTGAATGTGCAAGCGCTAAGGAACTAAGCAAGGCTAGCTCACTACCCTGTAGAGTGACTCTCCGCATGGTGCAGTGAGCGTGGACGGCCCCGCAAATTACCTTCAGACACGAGCCGACTTCTGCACCTACTAAGTCGTTCGTAGGCCGGCAGCCGCGTTAGTCGCCATGGTCGACCCCGTTGTAGAAGCGGGCGTAGCGGACACCTTGGAGGCACGATTGGCTGATGCGAGGAAACGCCAAGCGGATGGCGAGTACAGGACGATCCCCTTGACGATCGCCGAGTTGGGCATCCGGGCGCAGTGGGCGACGGAGCACCCTTCCCGTCCTGCTTCTCCTCGAACGGTGCGAAACGAAGGTGGCGTTGACGACGAGGTCGATGGCGGTGCACGAGTCAGTGACAGCGAAGGCACGAAGCAGAGAGGGGTGATCAAGGTCGACGGTGGCGTCGACAGAAGTCAGGCGCGAGTGCAGCGGTCGACGGCGGCTGCAGGCAGCTCGCGTGTCGACGTCGATGGTCGACGTCGCTCTCCTCTACGAAGCGCCGGGGGGCTCTCAGCGACGACGCACGTGACGGCGGGCGGGATCGCACCGGCGTATGGCCCCTTCAAGTTTTCGCCAGACATAATCACCGTCACACAGCTGCAAGGTCGACGGGACCTCATCACCTGGAAGGAGGCGATAGAACCTCTGCTGGAGGTAGCCGGGCTGAAGGGCTTTGCCGACGGCACCGTGCCAATTCCGCCCGTGGACGATGTCGAGCTGCGCTGGGAGTTTCGTGCTGTTCACTTGCTCACCTTCATGGCCATCTTGAGGTGCTGCTCGCCGGTGGTGCAGCTAGCGCTCAGGTCGTGTCGAGAGCGACTGGATGCTGTTCACCAAGCATGGCACTTCATCCTGTCGACGTACCAGGTCTGGGACGACCTGTACATCGGACAGCTGGAGGAGCAGATGACACACCTTCGCATGGGCGAGCAGGAGTCGGCGACGGACTACTGCAACCGTGCTCGACGGATCCTGGCTGAGATGCGGATGGGGGGCGTCGAATAGTCGACGGCGTCCTACATCACCTACGTCCTCAAGGGCCTGCCGCGCAACTACAACCTCATGAAGAGGATGACGATGGTGCACGGCACCCGTGAGTCCCTCGACGAGGACTCCCTCACCAGCTACATCATCCAAGACGAGGCTATGCAGGAGGGAGAGCAGCCCACGGAGCTCATTCCGCAGGCGAGTTACGCTGCACCGACGAAGTAGAATCGTCAGCAGGAGCAGCGCGGCAAGCCGGGCGGAGGTGGTAGCGGAGGTGGGCGATCGAAGAAGGACGTTGATGAGAAGAGGTCGACGCGGGACAAGGGCTGTGGAGGTGGTGGTCGACGACGGGAGTGCTGGATCTGCCACGACCCCGATCATCTCTCGTACGAGTGCCCCGACCGCGTCGACAGCGACGAGGACGACAACAAGGGTGGACGCGGTAGGTCGACCAGTCGTCGCCCCCGTCGAGATGCGAAGCTGCGTAAGGAGAAGCAAACGTCGAAGAAGACATCGTCGACGAAGGACGCCGACAACTCCAGCGGCAAGGGCCGAGGCGACGGGGAGGCGTCGTGCTCGATGGTCTGCTTGGTGGAGCCGACAGTCTCGCTGGCGCCGGAGGCTGGCGAGGATTTCGGCGCACAGGGGGGTATGCTGCCATAGAATCTTAACTCAATCACAAGAGTCTCACAAGATCCACACAAGAAAGTTGGAGTAGCTAGAAACCAGGTAGGAGGGGATGAGGAGGACGAGAGGGAAGGTCCCAAGAGAGTCCCCAACCAAGGAAACCCCATAAGCACATCAAATCCCCTCCCTATAGCAACCCCACTTTTACTTTTGTCACTTTCCCAACCTCCACAATCCACCTCACCCAAGTTGGCCACACTTGCCAACCCAATTTGGTTTCTCCCAACCACTTGGCAGCATCTACAGTGATGGGGACGAATTTCCCAACCCTCAAAAGTCTGTACCCCATATTGAGTCACTTCACAACTACCCAAAGTCGTCGCATCCCAATCAAAACTTCGAACGAACATAACTTCGTCGTTCTTGCTCCGATCGCGACGATTCTTGGATCGTCGGAAAGCTCTTGAGCAGATGAGTCACTTCAGATATCCGCTCAAGCCAAATAACATCCACACACACACTCAGAGAATCCAAACCACACCGAACACAAGTTCTTGCACACGCTCACACCACGCATGCAACGCACGAACATGTGATGGGAGGCAGACAGACGTGAATGCAAGTGATAGCATCACATAACAGTGGTCGACCTAGAGGTCGTTGGAGAAGGAGATAACGTTGCGGCCACGAAGCAGACGGGCGTGGAAGGGCCTACTGAGGCCACTGCAGGGAAGGCCGGGGGGGACAAGTCTAGGAAGAAGAAGGCGGCGCGCGGTCATCCCGGTTCCTCCGCATCTGGTCGGTAGGCACCGCTCGCCGTTGTCGAGCAGCTGCGAGTGGAGAACAGGCGGTTGAGGGCCGACAATGCACTCCTGCAAAAGTCGCTCGGTGAACAGACGGGACGGGTCGACATCTTGGCGAAGGCGGTAGCTGGACTCCTCGAGAAGCTCACGGCTTTGACCGCCCAGGTCGCCTTGACCGATCAGAATGCGGCAAAACGTCTCGAAGACGCCACTTCGGCCATGTCGACAACTATCGCCGACAACCTCACCGACAACATCTCCGAAAGCATCGACACTCTGAAGTCGGTCGCCCGAATCCTAGCAAACTGGCTGGATGAAATTGACGGTCCCCAAGGAAGGATGGCAGTCGAACGCGCAAAAGCGGTAACCAGCTTGGCCGATATCGTGAAGGATGTGTGGAAAGGCTTGGAGGAGACCATCATCGGCCACATCGGCGCCGCGCAAACCAACATTGTCGCCGCGGTTACACGCAACATTGTCTTGCCGCCGCCGCCACCTCCTCCCCCCCAAACTCAGACCATCCCGGAGGAGCTCCTGAAGTCGTTCAAGGCCGACGTGCTGAAAGCGGTGACGGAGGCCACACAGCAGTCGTTTCTTGCCTCCGGCTTAAAGATAATGTCCGAGGTCGTCGGCACAGTTGCGCCTGCTCGGCGTGGGTCGTCGCCGTCGGCGAACGGCGCCGGCCAAGCGCAAGGAAAGGAAGCCCTGAAACAGGGTCAGAAGAGGGGGGCAGGCGGCGGCGGGGGAGACGGAGGCGATTCAACGAGCGTGAAGCGGAGCAAGGGAGCTGGAGGGTCCCGCGTCGCCGGCGAAGGGAGCAAGGGAGCTGGAGAGGATGGTTTGGCGAAGCAATCTAAGAGCGTGGTCGACATCCTGAAGAAGCACTGGGCTACTGTTGGATCGCCAGGCACGGGCCATGGAGGAGGGAGTGCAGATGGGGGCCCCGCTGCTCAAGACCCTGGACCAACAGCCTCGCCCTTGGTCGCAGACAAGGAGATCCCAACCACTCAAACGGCGGTAGATGGCGGTGCCAGAACCGTCAAGGGTCCGTCTGTCGGGGTGGCGGGGACCACGTCGACTCCCCGTAAACCCCCGGCGGCTAGCAGCGCGCCGGTCGGCCCGTCAGCCACCAACAACGATGGGCCGGCTACTCTAGCTCCAGCAGGCCCGTCTGCCGCCAAAGGCGACGCGAAGGACGCTGCGGCTAAGGTGCCCGCAGCGGCGAACGCGCTCAGGGAAATGCTTCACCGCTTGGAGGCCCATCGCAAGGACGTGCAGCAGCCTCCTTTGGCCGATGCCGCCCTCGCCGAAACAACACGTCGCTCGGTCACTCCGCAGGTCGACGCCACAGTGTCCAATGCCCCACCTACCGCGCCACTGGTCGCCGCCCGTCCTCCCGCGGACCCAAAGTCCGCATTGCTTCGCGCCCGGTTAGGCGCACGTGGTGCGGCAGCGCCAACACGGACTCAGCCGGAAGCCGGCTCAAGCGCGCGCCGACGTTAGCAAACGCGGCTGCACACACACCCGGTGCAGCTGTTGTCGATGCGGCGGCGGAGAAGGGCACGAGTGCAGCGCTAGCCACCGGGGGCGGAGCCATTGACCCTGCACAGGCGACGAAAGGCCACAACGACGCCGACATCGCGGCCATCCAGGACCTGTTGGAAGCGGCAAAACGCCTCGGGCACCCCCCTGCCCTGGCCATCTCGGACACGGCGCATGTAGAGTCCTCGGCGAGTCCCGCCGGTGGTTCAGCGGAGCCCAAGACGACCACCGATGCTGTCGACGAGGGAAAGTCGAATCGGGAGGGGAAGGCCGACACAGGGAGGGCGAGCTTTCAGAGGAAAACACGGGCGACGTCTGCGACGAAGGTGATGTCGGCCGAGACAGGGCAGGAGAATGCAAAAGCGAAGGAGATTCTGGAGAAGTCGGTCGGCAAGGGTACGTCGGCGAAGAAAGGGAAGGAGAAGGCGGCGGAGAAGGAGAAGGAGAAGGAGGAGGAGACGGAGAAGGAGGAGAAGGAGAAGGAGAAAGGACGGAAGGGTCATGGCATCCGCCAAGACAAATCAGGCGACGGGCTAGGGTGGGTGGGCGAGATTAAGGTGGTCGGCATTAATCGATACATCGGCAAGTCGCGCGAAAAGTTGGAGCTGGCGTACCTGCACTCGATTGCGTACATCGTCTACGACGGTTACGTCAGCAAGGTCCTCTTGGCCGAGCTCACCGGCTTGGACGAAACCGAGTTGGAGAAGTGGAGGAAGGTGTGGGAGGAGGTCAAGATCTTGCCGACAGGGATGTGGACGGTGATATGGGCACGGGGCGCGTACCTTCCAAAAACACTGTAAGTCGGATACCAGTCGGCCGAGTGATGATGACGATGTCAGAGTCCCTAACGGTCGCCCGGTTTCATGTGATTGCGTGACAAGTTCGATGATATTCTCGGCAAGTATCGAGCGTACAAGAGCTCAGGCGATGCGCACCACGACGCGCTCTTTCCAGCGATCTGGTTCCCCGTCGATGCCGACACGAAGGAAGGGAAGGAGAAGTCGGATGCTATGATGTCGGCCATGATAGACCGCGTGTCCAAATGCGCTGCGTATGGGAAAGTCGTTGCGAGCGCGACGAGGAAGGAGGGAGACACGGATGAGATGACGGCGATGGCGACACAAGCGTGGTCGGCCTCCGCTTGCGCCGTGTGGTGCTTGGTCGAGAACGAAGCCGCCCAGGTGGTCGATGCTGTGGGCGAAGGGAAGGCGGCGGCGATGGTGGTCGGTGCGAGCGATACGACCGCCGGTGTCTTCAAGAAGGTCATGCAGGCGGTGCTGGAGGCCGAGATCGACAGGGACCAACCCCTGGGGGAGGTTGCGCACAACGTCGCGCCGGCGCTGCAGAGTCTCGCTCTGCAAAGGGTCTATCCGGGGATGGATGTTGAAGTCGAAGCCGACGTGATTGCTAGAGCGACGGTGGAGACCATGGCGTTCTCGGGAATGTGCCCCGTCGCCGGGCCGAAACTCGAAGAGATCGGCATCTCGGTGCCGTGTGACGCGCAGATGGAGTGGGACATTGAACACAGGGGGAGGAAGGGGCAGAGGGGCAAGCAGGGCAAGGACAGCACGGGGAAGAATAAGGGCAAGGTCGGCAGGAAGGGGAAGGACAGCACGGCGGCGTAGTCGGCGCGCGGAGGGAGCGCTAGGTGGTCTGATTGCTAGGGTGTATAACGTTTTGGTCTGGGCGGCGCCGATTGCGTAGTAGTTGCAACCTTTTGTTTTTGTTTGCTTTTTGGTAATGCATGTCACTAGAACCCTTGTCGGTGACTTCGACCTGATCACTATCCACTTAATTGCACCCGGAGATGAACCATGTCGGCGTATATGACGGAGTCCGTCAACATCGTCGGCGATGTCGACCATATCAGTACCCTCAGAACCGCACTCACATAATTGCCGGTGATGTGCCTTGTCGGAGTTCGTCAACACGTCGGCGTCGTGCGGTGTCTGTTGACATTGAGGGTGTGGCTCTACGCAGGTATACTCGGGTTGGATCATCTAGGGTCGCATGGGCCCTGTTCTGTGCCTTAGTGTCATGTTAATGCAACAACTTCCTGAACAATATAAGCAGTATGCTTTGTTAAAGTTGACCACAATTACAGCATCAGCAAACTACGCAAATGCATGTGCTCCAAACGAATTCATGCCGACTTCTTGCGCTTTGTCGGAGGACGCTGCGCAGGTGCGGTCTGCTTGGCCAAGTCGGCCACGGTCTTCGGCATCTACTCCTCCCAGGTGTCTGGAAACAAGTCGGCGACCCAAGTTTTCGGCTTCAAGTTGAGCGCCATCAGCGCACAGGCGGCACGTAGCTTCGAGACCACCTTGGGGCCCAGCCCCTTGACTCCCATGCCAGGCTCCTTGGAGTTCGTCGGCGCCGTTTCCGGATTGAGCACCGTGAGGGCATCGCAGAAGGTCCCAATGCTCGGCGCCTCGATCCTGTTCAGTGCAGCAACGACGGCTTCGGTGTCGGCATCGCCGTCGCTCGAGCGAAGAAGGCGCACTGCATCCATGGCCTTCAGCATGCGGCGCACCTTCATGTTGTGTGCACCCTGCGTCGCGCCTTCGAGGAGGGTGTGGCGGTCGACAAATCCCGGCTCGGCGACCCTGTCGCAAAGACGACGAGTGTCATCGGCGGTGGCGGAGTTCCAGAGGCGCCAAGCGTCCCTCACGGTCGTTGCCTCCCGCCAGGGTTTCACCACGTTGAGCTCGTAACGAGCCTCGTTGACCGTTTGTGGGGGTTTCGGGGGTTTCTCATCCCCGTTCTTGGCTTCGGGCCCCGTACTGGCCGAATCCATGGAGCCACCCTCTGTCGGCGCTTGCTCGTTCGCCGACGGCGGTGCCGCCGGCATCCTCCGTGCTTCTGACACACGGAGTGCCTCAGTGAGACGGGTTAACTCGGCGGTCAGCGTCGCGATATTATCGTTGCGCTTCTCGATCTCCTCCTGAAGGTCGATCTTCTTGACCGCGGAGCGCTCCTTCTCGTACTTCAGCGTCTCCTTGAGGGACATGTTACGGGACTCCGTGTCCAAGCGGGCGGAGATTTCCTGCAGTGGTAGGCGGAAAGGCAAAGCGAGATTATAATTCACTCGTAACAGGTCGACGCCGACAAAATCGTCATCTCACCTCTGGCTGAATGAGGGTCGGGTCTCGGCGCTTGTTGATCGTTTCGGTGTCGCCTGCCTCGACCCTTTTCGCCCAGTGCTGAAAGAGGGCAATCCGGCAGAGCTTGGAACCTTGGACGTACGGGTGCCACGGTGTGCGGACGAGCTTCACCGCGAGGTCCTCGGCGACGATGCGGCGGAACATCAAGAGGGTATGCCAGAAGTGCACGGCGGCTTTGTCGGCGTCGCTCCCCTTGACAGCACGCGGTTCCGCCTGCAAGTCGACAAGAGATGTGGGTTAGTAGGGTGTTGGGCAGCCAACGAAGTCATGGCGACGTAATGACACTATCGGCGTCGCTTAACATACATCGCGCAGCAGAGCATCCACGCCGGGGAAGATGTGCTCGGCGATGGTGTCCAAGAGTTTGGCGGAGGGCGGGACCCTGCTGCGACCCAAGAAGTAGTCCTGCTTGAAACCCGAGTAGCCGGCCTTCCTCATCACCACCCCAATGGGAATGGCTGCGATGTAAGCACGCGTCATCTTGTCGAGAGCCCAGTGTCCCAGCTCGGCGACCTCGGCGCGAGGAGTCCCTTCGATGGCTAGATCCTGTGCACCTCCGGCGCGTGCGGCGTGCACGTTCCGCTTGCAGAACACCTTGTTGGTCGTCCACATCTGCCGCGTCCAACGTTGGTGGCTGGCGGCGGGGAGCTCGTCTTGCTCCTTGTCGTTGCGGGCGAAGAAGAGGTGCTTCTTGTACCAGCGTCCGCGTTCGGTGGTGTCAAGCGGCGGAAGGAAGTCGACGCCGGAGAACTGACCGATCTGGTCGAGGATGAAGTGCAAGCACAGGCCGGTCTCGCCGACGGCGCACAACTCCGCTTCCAGGTGTCGCGCCGCGTAGCTCTGCTGAAGACGGGCATCCTTGGAAGTCTTCGAGTTACGCGCGGCGATCACCATGACGACCGGCTGGTTCTCCGGGTTCACCGACGAGGTGCTCTCCAATCGGTACAAGAAGATGTCGGGTAGCGTGATCTCGCGGATGCTGGCGCCGCGCAGGAGAGAGTGATGGGAGAGTAGCATGAGCACCTTGACGAGCAGGAATCTCCACCGCGTCTGCGAAGGAGTGGTTCCACGCCGCCGCCGCCCATGTCGGTAGCACCTTCATCATGATCTGGCGGAACTCTTGGGCAGTGTAGGTATCGCCGATTGTGCCGCGTCGACGGTCGGCGCAATTCCTGCACACAAATCCGCGGGGTAAAGTAATTAGGCGGCGTCAACTTCACTGTGACGTAGACTGAGCTTGGCGGTGTCGACCAACTTACTTGATGTCCCTCTCGTTCTTAGAGCGGACCAGGTACCGCACCTCCGATCTGACCACCGAGATCTCCCGCATGATGCCCAGCTCGTTCTCCCGGTACAGCGTCGCCTCCACCCTCGCCGCCATCTGGCATGCCTTTATGCGCCCAAGGAGCGTGTGCACCGTTGTCGCTGGCACAGGGCGGTTTCCGTTGCATTGTTCCCCTCCTCGGTCTTCTCGGCCACGAGGTTACACTCACGGCTCATGTACTTCACGTAGGCACGCGGCCGGGTTTCGGTGACCCTAGGGCCGTGCAGCCAGATGTACTTCCGGGGGACATCGACCTCGTTGTCCCATTTCTTTTAATTGTTGGCGCGGATGTAGTGGCCGATCTCGTCGACGTGCCGAAGTCGGTGCTCCTGGGGAAGCCTGTCGCGTATTTGCTTCAGCATCTTCGCCGCCCACCTCTTGTAGTGGTAGATCCATGAGGTGTACAGCCCGAGCGTGCTATTTTTCTCCAAGGTTTGTAGGTGGCGTAGGGCGTCCATGGCCATGTGGCCGCCCGTTGGTTGCTCTACCGTGGTCCGTGTGCGAGGTAAAGGTTGGACCACCATCGTCGGTACAGTGTCACGGGAGTTGTGTATGCACTATGCGTCGCGCGGGCGTCAAGCTCGAATTCCCTCTCAAGTGCTTCTAACTCAGCGGCGATCTCTGCAAGTTCCAGCTGCGATTTGATGTCGGCGTCTACAGTGTCGGCAGGGGGTGGGATGGGTTGCGGCTATTGGGCACTAGGCCGTCCTCTGGCCATGCGTCGCCGACTCAGTAAGGTGGTGTTGGGCCGTCTTGGTCGGTCGGTAGATCTTCTATTCGAACCCCGCCGACTTTACGAGATGCTGGCCTAGATCCTCCTACGGCGAAGTCGACGACCGGTGGTCGACCTCAACACCGACCTGGTTCGTCTATGCCAGGTCGACGGGAACTGTGCCGACGAGACCGTCTTGTCGGCGCTCAAGTAACCTACACACGCGAAGATAGCGAGGTTGGGGAAAATTCTAAGTGCCAGAGAGCGCACAGCAGCATGAGGGACGGAACACAAACGGACAGGCAGAATGAGGACCGTGCGCATGGTCAAGGAGGGGTATGGTTGCGAGCGACTCCGCACCTGCCGCGCTCCAAGCAGCCCTCTTTGCGTGCGCCGCTATGCATGTGTCTGACGTGCCACGAACGATGCATGGCTAGTGTCACGCCGCGCTTCACTCAGTGATCCCCTAGCCTGGGCTTTTCCACGGTGGATTACGCGAGCAATACGTGGTATAGGCCAATTGTCACCCTGGCGGGCCAGGGCCGACATCTCCCTGGCGGGTATGTGCTTGTGCCCAGTATCTCCCGGGCTCGTTCCATGCCCGGCATGGATTGGGCGGCGCCATCACTGATTGCGCCAGAGCGCTGTCCCACGCTATCGTGTTGCGATGGCGTTCCAGATAAGATGATGATGGGTTCTTCGGATTGTGCAGGTGCATTTGCTGGTGCCGGTGCTGGTGCATTCGCCGATGATTGCTGAAGCGAGGAGTCGCGTTCCGCCGTGAGTGTCGCGATTTCGATCGCCGACTCCTGCAGCTGTCGCACAATTTCATCAAGGCGAGCTTGTGTGAGGCCTTCGAGCGAAATGCGGGCGGTTTCGTCCATGAGAGCCTCAGTCGTGGCCGTGTGTGCTTACGAGAGAGCACACGAGCAGCGGTGCTTGGTCGCTGAGGGACGTCTACCCCCTGCAAAAATTGAGATAATGTGGGAAGCGAAAGTGCGGGTGCGGTCCGAAAAAGGGTCGTGGCTCTGGATACCAAGTATTATGAGTGCAATTGAGTGAGCGAGCGAGGATTGCACTATCGAAGCAAAACAATACATCGAGCGAAGAAATGAGCGAAGATTATATAGTGAAGCTAGCGTGGTAACGGTAACGCGGGAAATTGGAGTTCGCTACGGGCCTAGCGCCGAGGTTGGGAATTGTCGAGGCGGAGGACCGGAGCGCGGGTTACCCGCCGAGCCGTGAGGGTTGGGTGCGGTGTGAATAGTGGCGGGAACAGTGGTCAAGGCACGTGTCGCGTGTGGTAACGGTGCACTGTTGCGGTACTGTTGGTGGGAACAGCCAGGTACGCGGTAAGCAGGGATGCGAAGTAAGGAAAAGGATTTTTCCTTACACATGGTTAGGGTTTCCTATATCTAGGGTTGTACTTGTCATTTCTACACCATTCATTCAATAGTTCCTACTTTAACATGGTATCAGAGCGAAGGTCTCGGGTTCGAATCCCCATGTGTGCACATGCTGGCGCACCGCTGTTCCGTGTCTCAGGGCATCCCTGTGAGGGGGGTGTCAGTAGACCAGCACTAGGGATACCCGATTGATCCTAGGGATGGGTTACAGGCTTGCGAGCCTGGGGGGTTATGGGCGCACAGACCCGCTACTTAACAAGCCATTTTATCCGACTAGTCTAGTGGCTGGGATTCTGACAAGGGCACTTGGTTATGCGACAAGGGCACCGATGCAACCACCTCGTCCCCTGACAGCTCCTTGAGCAACAGGGCCTTCCATTCCGTAGGTGCTGCTGCGAAAGCTTCCAGCGCCCACTTCGCCGTTCCCTCGCTGCCCAATTCTCTCGTCAAAGTACCCAGGTCCTTGAGTTCGCACTTGCTGTCCAGCCGCCGCCGGACAAACGTTCCCATTGTCAACCCCTGCAGCTCCCCAGAATCGTTATGATTCCCGAAGGGACTCGCGCCTCTGAAGGGAAGGATGAAAGCCAGCTGCAACCGCTCCGCTTCCCACCTGTTCGTCAGCTCCGGCTGCGTGCTGAAAAGGGTATCCCAGAAAACCTGAACCATCTCTTTCCACCTCCCGCTGCCTTACTCCCAGTGTTTGAGCAGAGACTTGTGCGTGAAGATCATGTCCAAGTTGAGCGGCATTTTTGCCGCCTTCAATACCAACCATTTCTTGATAGAGTCCGGCATCACCACCATCCGGCCCACGTTCTGCACCATGATGCTGTCGAACCTTTTCTCGGGGCAAATCATCCCCAGCCCTCCTTCCTCCCGCGGTGTGCAAATCAAATCGTAAGTCTAGAGAATGAACCGCCTCCCCTCCGGCGCTTGACCGCCAGACACGAAGTCGTGGCAGATCATTTGTATCTTCACCCATATCACCTCCGGGGGCGGGTACACCTGTGCCTGGAAAAGGAAGGTCAACGTAATGTAGCTATTGATGATTGTGACTCTTGCATTTGTCGTTAAATGCTGCATCTCCCAATGGGCTAAACCCTCCCTCGCTCTGTCCATCTCCTTGTCCCAGGACGGCATGGTTTCCGTTCGGCGTGACCTACACCCCCAGCAACCGCTCCAGTTCATCCGAATTTGCCCACTTGTATTACAGGTTTTGCGGAAGTCGACTGCCTCTGTTCTTCCCGAGCGGGAAAACCACAGCAAGGGTTGGCACCACGGCAAGGGTTGGCGCCACGGCAAGGGTTGGCCCCACGCACGGAATTAAATGCTCAGTGTTGCTTGGTATGCATGGTACCCCAAATACTTGGAGCTGACATACCTAATCAAAATCGAGGGCTGCGACTTGTGAAGAGGCTAGAGAGGAGGTGAAGGGGGGAAGAGGGGATGGAGGTGGGGGGGGCTTCCTCGGGGGATGGGCTGGGTGTGGCGGGACAAAGGAGTAGCATGTACCGTATGTAGAGAGGGGAACAAAGGACTCTAAAGAATGGAGCGGAACTTTGCTTCCGGCCTGGTTGAGTGGGGGGTATGAGTGGAGTGGCGGGTATATGAGGAGTGGGGGGTATGAGAGGAGATGGGGTATGTGATGTGACCCATGCAAGGTCACCGTCACCGTCACCTAAGTGACGATAGTTTGACACACCGCCACGTAGGTGTGCAAGATGGTATTTATGTATGGTATGGAGCATGCATGCTCTCGCATGGCCATGGATGAAGTGGTACCACCATCACGGGGATCATGGAATCATGATTGTCCTGCAGGTGCGTTGCATGGTCAAGCATGCGTTGTGTTGAGCATGTGCAAGTGACAAAACCTGAATGTGGCAAACCGAGGACCAGACCCAGGTGAGGTGGCCTCAGCTGGAAAGGCAGGGCAGGCAGTGACCTGGAAAAGCTGTTTGACACCAACCATTGTTGAGAGTTCTAGAGCCAACTGGCATGGTGGGGAGATGATGGGATGATGGGTGATGGGGTGATGGTGTGATGGTGTGATGAGAACGTGGGATGATGAGATCATGGGGTGATGAGATCATGGGGTGATGAGATCATGAGGTGATGAGATCATGGAGTGATGAGATCATGGGGTGATGAGATCATGGGGTGATGAGATCATGGGGTGATGAGATCATGGGGTGATGAGAACATGGGGTGACGAGATCATGGGGTGATGAGATCATGGGGTGACGAGATCATGGGGTGACGAGATCGTGGGGGATGAGATGATAGGACCGTCTCTTCTGCGAAGAGTCACTCTACACTGGGAGCTGGACTACGGGGGAAGCCACGGGTTCTAGGAGTGATCGTAGCCTTCCTTAGCATTCTCTAGCACTTGTGCGTCACATTAAGATTTGGCAAGAGTTTCAATAAGGAAAGTTGCATTACAGAATGATATGAATAGCAATGGCAACAATGACTACATCAGAGCCTAGCAAACTAGCAGGCAAGCTGGTCGACCACCAGCGCAGCACGGTCGACAGTCTGCCATCGTTGCGTAGAGGCACCGCGCCAGCGTTGCAGAAGAGCGGCCCGCCAACCGAGCAAGTCCGCGGCTTGCCAACGCTGCACCAAGGCGGCTTGCCAACGCTGCTGCAGAGCGGCCTGCCAGCGTTGCATCCACAGGTGACAATAGCGCATGTGCGCACCCATTTCGCAGGTGCGCGGCGACGGTCGAGCACGTTCTCTACCGTTACGCAGGTGCCAGGTCAGTCACGTTCCGACAGTTGCGCCGGAAGCTCCACGTCGACCTCGGGATACCAGCCCGAGGTGGCCTTCGCTATCGCAGCCTCGACGAGCCTCGCGTGCCTCCGCACAACCTCGTTGAGGAGGTTACCTGGTCGACCGGGTCGGCCACCCAGCATCCTGGTCGACGACCTCCCTCGTCGACCACTACTCCCGCCGAAGACCGCTCTGGTTGACGGACCCCTCCGTCGACCAACACGGTCAGCTGCTGGCGTCGAGCTCTTATCGTCGACAGCCTCTTCGACGGTCCTGCGCTGGTCGACGACCACCTTCGTCGACCACACCCAAGGCAGGTCGACGAACCCCTTCGTCGACCACGCCAGTCGAGATATGCCGCCGGCTTCCCGTCGTCGGCGGCTTCGCATCACTCTTTTGCAGGTCGACCAGCTCCCTCGATCTGCACGCGTCGACCTCCGCGGATGGTCGGCTGCACCTCCCGCGCACCCGACCACAACGTCGGCTTCGCCCAAGCGAGGGCGGGGCCAACACCCAATTCCAATCAACATCTTCCATATTGAAAGGGTAGACGCAAGAGACAATGGGGTGCCAATGGCAATGGTGACAGACAAGTGGCAAATGAGATCACAGATCTGATTCGGTAAAGGCAGGTTTGATATAAGGCACTACACACCTCAGTGCGGAAGCGTGTGATAATTGATAGTGCGAGGGCAGAAACGGCAGGGCAGGATGCATGCTACTGGATGGACTATGCACACCCGGGGAGTGATTGAGGTGGAGGATGGCGAGAGAGAGAGAGATGGAAATATTTCCCAGAGGGAGGTGGGTGAAGGATTGGCGGATTGGACCTAAGTCTTGGACGCTGCTGGCTGCAATACGCACACCTTGGGAGGGGAATGACAGGATGGGCATGGGGACGTGGAAGGGGAATGAGATGGGGGAGGCCCTGTGAGGGGAATGGAGAAAAGGGTGGGGATGAGAATGTGTAAGCAGAAGGGGATGGGGGGAGCGGGAAGAATGATGGGGAGCGACAATGGTTGCACTGTGCGCCCCCGGAGGTGATAAGAAGAAGCGGGGTCAGTGGGATGGAGTGGTGAGATTGGTGGTGAGATGTGAGCGAGGGTTGAGATTGTTGGTGAGAATGGAAAAGGATGGGAGGGGGGTGGGGAGGGGGAATTTGCCACCTTTGATAACTAGCTAGCCCTCCCATAGGGAATACAAGCACAGACAATTCAGACACAAGGCATTCAGGCACAACGAATTCAGGCTCAGCGAAATAATGCACAGGAATTCCAGGAACTAGAAATTCGAGCACAGAAGATCCACGCACTGGGAAATCAGGCAGAGGGATTTCAGTCGGAGGGATTTCAGGCAGAGGGATTTCAAACAGAGGGAATCCTGGCAGAGGGAATTCAGACACAGGAATTTCAGGCAAAGGTAATCCAGGTAGAGGGGATTCAGGCAAAGGGATAAAGGCGCAGGGAATTTAGGCACATGGCATTCAGGCACAGGGCATTCAGGGCACAGGGCATTCAGGCAAAGGGCATTCAGGCACAGGGCATTCAGAATTAGGGCATTTAGGCATAGGGCATTTAGGCACAAGTACTAGGAACTTAGGTTTAGGAGAAGGTGGTGAGAGACTTAAGAAAGAGGGGTTTCACCAGTGTCAAGAGGAAGAAAATACAAGCAAGAGAGGAAGGCATGAGCAAGAGGTACACCACCAACAGAGCTTTTAACAAGCTACACTAACTATTGCTACATAAAGTTAAATATAGATAATAAAAATTAACACGTATAGGTAGACGTCGCCCTGGCGATGGCTCTGCCGGTGGAGCTCGGCGTCAGCAACCATGCGTCAAGGTTGATCGCCCGCCTCTCGGCATCCAGCAGCAGTACAAAATCGACGGCCATAATAGGAGTGAGCAGGGGCACAGCTACAGCAGATGAGAGTGGACAGGCACAGGTGGAGGAGAAGACAAGCAGAGGCAGCCAGGCAGAGCTAAATCTGAAATCGCGGATGCAGGCGGGGCCAGTAGGGTCGGAAGGCATGCGACAGGCGCGGCGGGAGGGTGTAGCGTCAGGTGCAACAGCAGGGTATGCGGCAGGCGCGATGGCAAGGCAAGGTAGGGCGCGGTAGGGCACGCGGCAAGCGCACGGCGGGCGTGGCAGGCGTGCGGCGAGGTATACTGCAGGGCGCGGCAGGGCGCGACACGCACTCGACAGGGGTGCGATAGGGCGCAACAGGCTCGCGGCAAAGCGCGTTGCAGGCGCACGGCAGGTGTGCGGCGAAGCGCGCGGCAGGCGGGCGACATGGCACGCGACAGGGCGCGGCTGGCGCGAGGCAGGGTGCAGGAGGGCGCTCGAGGGGGGGCGCTAAGGGGCCGCTAAGGGGCGCCACGACGGGGGCCGCTAAGGGGCCGTTAAGGGGGGTCCACGACAGGGGCTGCTAAGGGGGCCGCCAAGGGAGGGGGGGGAGGGTAGGAGGGGAGGGGGGAGGGGGGCTAAGGGGTAGGGGGCCGCGAGGGCTTGAGGAGCAGCTAGGAAGGAAGAACGGGCGACATGCAAATGCATAAAATGATATGTTGATAAAACTGACCCGAGGCAGATTGCAGTCGTAGTGCTTCCGAGTACGATAGCTTGGTATTTATGGTTATAGTGATGGTTGGCACCTATCTATAGTATTCGTTGCTAACAATGTTATTGTTATACCCATATTTCAGTTAAGAACATGTACTGCAATGCGACTAATACGGTTCCCCCCTCCCTTAATTAATGCCCCATGGGGTGAAATAAGCGAAGGGGAATACGACAAAGAACCTCAAACATTGCCCATTTTTCAGATGAGATAGCGCTACACAACCAGGGCTGTTTTTATAATACTAAATAGTCTGATTAGTCAGAGATCTCAGATATGTTGGGCATGGGCCCTGATTTTGTCGTTCCGATGAGATTCACCACTGCCTGCCGCATAGGTTTCTGCGTCTGAAATTTTACGTTCCAAAAGAACGCATTACACCTTGCTAACCACACTTGGTGCAGCGTGGACGCGATGAGGGACCCTTCGGGAATTCTAGACCTTGTGCTCTTCAGCATGAACAGCAAGTTCTCCAGCCCTTGCCACTGCAGCCCCGGATTCATCTCAACGAAACCTTGCCTCAGAAAGTGCACCACCTTCTGCACTGCCGGGAAGCCAAAGAGGCAGTGTTCTGGTGTTTCCTCCCTTTTGCAGTGCGAGCAGCAGACTCTGCTCTTCAGGAAATGCGGCCTTCCTCCCACTCGATCACCCTTCCTTGCCCCTCCCATCTCCTCTGCTGTTTCACCATGTCAGCGGAGCTAACTAAACCCTTCCTGATCTGCTTCAGCACACCAGCTTCCCTTCCTCGCATAGCTTAGATTGAAGCACCTTCGTGCGCGCCTCCCTCATCGACCCCAGTACCTTCACCCATCATTTTCTCCCCGCTTGTCCCGTTGACCTATACAGTACGTGTGTGTCAACATATTTTTTATATGTGTTGTTTAGTATAGTCTAGGGGTGTTACATTTGTGTTTCCTTGCATGGTGTTATGAGTGCAATTGAGTAGGCAAGCGAGGATTGCAGCCTGCAGCCGCCGACGACTGCACCCCTCGTGCCTGAACGCCACCGACTTCATCGGTGTGAATCACACCACGCTGCCTCGACGTGCCTCCCGCACTGCTGCCGACTTGGCCACTTCTGGCGTTGACGCCCACGTCGACGCCGCCCTCGGTGTTCACCGGTCGAGGAGAAGCAGGCTGAGACGGAGGGTGCTCTGTCGCCCACACGGAGCGGATGCCAGCCTCGACGACCGCCCACGGGAGGTCGCCAAACTCCTGCGCCTCATGGCGTCTCCTCGCGCCTGCCAGCCGCGCCTCCATGGTGTCTGCAACACCAGCGTCACCCACGCCAACCATGGTGGTGAGTCGCACAGCTGCCGGCCTACGAACAACTTAGGTAAGTGACCAATACGTCGACCTGACTGAAAGGTAAGTCGTGTGCCGTCCACGCTCACCGCACCATGCGGAGATAACTACTAGAACGGGAGCTAGACTACGGGCTAGGCACGGGTGCTCGTGTGATCTCTGCGTTCGTTGGTCCTTCGTCGTTTTCCTAGTACACACACTGCTTGCTAGTTCACGGGACAAGTTGGCAAGAGTTTCACTAGAGAAAGTTCACAACAATGGTACAACCAAGTTGGAAGGACAAGACTACATTAGAGCCAGCATGCAAGCAGGTCGACTGCCAGCGCAGCATGGTCGACCGCGTTCCAGCACGACTTGGTCGACCGTGCTCCAGCAGTGCAAAATCGCGGTTCGCCAATGCTGCAGGTCGACGGCGTGCCAACATCGCAAGTCCACGGCGTGCCAGCGTTGCACCCGCAGTACAGCATTGCACCAGCTTCGCAGGTGCTCGCAGATGATTGGCGTGCTGAGCCTCGTCACCTGCACAGCACACACACCTAGTCAACCAGGCAGTGACGACTGCATCTGATCAGCCACGTCGACCTCGGGATACCACCACAGAGGTCGGACTCGCCAACTTCGCCTGGGCGACCGTCGCACTCCTCCGCAGAACCTCGTCACCCAGGTAACCCGGTCGACCGGGCAACCACGTCGACCAGCTGCTCCTGTATGTGTCTGTCGACCTCCCAAGTCGACGACCATCCCAAGTCGACCTCACCAGGTCGACCACACCACTGGTCGACCAGCTCCAGGTCGACGTCACTCCTGGTCGACCAGCTCCACGTCGACCAGTGCAGTTGTCAGCCGACCACCCAAGTCGGCTACCCAAAGTCGGCGTCACCAAGTCGACGCCCTCCGTAGGTCGCCTTCCCAGGTCGACCTCCCTGAAGTCGGCGCCACCCTGAAGTCGGCGCCCATGCACTGGCCCCAGTGCAGGTCGACCTCCTCGTCAACCAGCTCGCCCACTGCTGTAGGTCGGCTGTTCCCCTCACACCCGACCACGAAGTCGGCTCCGCCCAAGCGAGGACGGGGCCAAGACACAACTCCCGTTGACATACTTACCCGTATGGTTGGTACCAAGAGTAAGTGCGTTACTTACCCATATGGTTGGTACCAAGAATTAGTGCGTTACTTACCCATATGGTTAGTACCAAGAGTAAGAGCATTACTTACCCGTATGGTTGGTACCAAGAGTAAGTGCGTTACTTACCCATATGGGTAGTACCAAGAGTCAGTGCGTCCCTTACCCATATGGTTGGTACCAAGGGTAAGTGCGTCACTTACCCCTATGGTTGGTACCAAGAGTAAGTGCGTCACTTACCCGTATGGTTGGTATCAAAAGTAAGTGTGAGACTTACCCGTATAGTTAGTAGCAAGAGTATGTGTGTTACTTATCCGTATGGTTGGTACCAAAAGTAAGTGCGGTACTTACCCATATAGTTGGCCATCACGGTCGCCGAGGACTTGGGGCTGCAGGGCAACCTCAAGCACATGGAGCGGCGTTATGCCTGGCTGCAGCACAAGGTGAAGCGCGGGAAGTTCATGCTGAAGCACATCCTGACCACTGAACAACCGGCTGACTTCCTGACAAAGGCGCTGCACTTTCCGGCCTTCAACCGGTGCTCCGTTGGGATCGGCCAAGTGCGCCTGGCCGACGTCGGCGACGGTGACAACGACGTGCAGCAGTAGGTGCCATACCCTCTTGCATGGCTGGTGCGGTGATCGGCGTGCTGTGTGTTGTGTGCACGCCGATGGGCTATTCTCCGGGTAGTGCTGCCGGGTGGGCTGGAGGCCCAAGCGTGAACGCGGCAGGGGAGTGTTAACGGGAATTGTGTGTTGGCCCCGTCCTCGCTTGGGCAGAGCCGACGTCGTGGTCGGGTGTACGGGGGGTGCAGCCGATCTGCTGCAGTGGACGACACCGACTTGGGTACGCAGGTCAACGGTTGGTCGACCTGCACGGGGGCCACTGCGAAGACACCAACGCCGGGCGCCGGTGGCCGACTTCAACCAGGGTTGACAAGGGCAGTCGTCGACCTGGGAGGACCTGGACGCCGACCTGGGCACCTGGACGCCGTCCTGAGCGCCTGGACACCGACCTGGGAGGACGCCGACCCGGTGGCGTCAACCTGGTTGCCCAGTCGACACAGTTTCCCGGGCGACGGGCATTGCGGGGTGCGCGAGAATCGCCTAGGGGTTCGCGCGAAGCCGACCTCGGTGTGGTATCCCGAGGTCGACAAGGAGGATCAGGTGCAATCGTGGGCACATGGTCAGCTTGGCGTCTGCTCTGTGAACGTGACGAGGCACAGCACGCCAACCAGCTGCGAGCACCTGCGAAGCAGGTGCGCTGCTGTCCTGCGGGTGCAACGCTGTGCAGCTGTCTTGCTGCAGCGCTGACACGCCGTTGACTTGCAGCAGACCGCGACTTTGCACTGCTCGAGCGCGGTCGACCATGCAGTGCTGGAACGAGGCCAACCGTGCTGCGCTGGCAGTCGGCCTGCATGCTTGCTTGCATCTGATGCAGTCCATTGTTGCTTTGCATTGTGTACCATTGTTGTCATTGCTAGTGAAACTGTTGCCAAATCTCCCCGTGAATGAGCAAGTAGAGTGAACACGAGCAAACGAACGCAGAGATCACCCCAACACCCTGTGCCTTCCCCGTAGTCAAGCTCCCGTTGTCTTAGCTATCTACGCATTACTTATCCGTATGGTTGGTACCAAGACTAAGTGCGTTACTTACCCATATGGTTTGAAGCAAAAATAAGTGCGTTATTTACCTGTATGGTCGGGACCAAGAGTAGGTGCGTTACTTACCCGTACGGTTGGTAGCAAGAGTAAGTGCGTTTCTTAGCCATATAGTTGGTACCAAGAGTAAGTGCGTTACTTACCCGTACGGTTCGTACCAAGAGTAAGTGCGTTACTTACCCGTATGGTTGGTGCCAAGAGTAAGTGCGTCACTTACCCATATAGTTCGTACCAAGAGTGAGTGCGTTACTTACCCGTATGGTTGGTTCCAAGCGTAAGTGCGTTACTTACCCGTATGGTTGGGACCAAGAAACGCGGTGGAGAAGTCGAAGGAGTGCAACTCGTAGTCGCGCTGTGCTACAATATGCAGCAACACCCGAAGAGTGGTCATCTTCGGGGTGGGAGCGAAGGTCTGGAAGATGTCTACCCATTCTCGCTAACTGAAGCCTCTCGCCACGTAGCGCGCCTTGAACACCGGTGGTGCTCCACGCGGCCGCTTCACCTTGTAGAGCCACATGCCACTGACAACGTTAGCCCCAGGTGGTGGGACGGCGTCGACGTAGGTGCCTGTGGACCTATAAGATGCCATCTGTGCCTCCTCAGCTGCTATCCAGTACGAAGACCAGGGTCCCGAGACCGCCTCAGCGTGAGTGCGAGGGATCGGGATGTCAAGGGCGTCAGGATTCCCCTCAGGGGCAGCAGCATGGCGCAGAGATGAGGAACAGCGGCCGCAAGGAAACCAAGCTCGAACTGCCTCTCCTCTAGGACCTCCAAGGGAAAGACAGGAGCACCCCCAGAGGACGGAGAACGAGCAGTGCCACTCACCAGGAGAACGGCGTAGTCAAGACAGTGGGAAGAGGCAAAGGCACTGACAGTAGTGACAAGGGCCGAGACAGATAGCGGAGGGGCAGTCGGGTGAGTGACCAACGCGGACAGAACACGGGAGAGGACAGGGCGAGAGGCACGGAGGTAGTCGGACAATGGGTCGTGAAATACAGTGAGGGACGACTCAGGAGGCTGTGGAAGGACAGGAGGAGATAGAACACGAGAGCGAAGAACAAGGTGAAATGGGCCGTCGGCACTGTAACGGGACCGACGAGGCTCTGGGGACACAGCACGAATGAGGGGAGAACGACGAGTCCACTGGGACGAGGAAAGGGACTCGACAGGGGGAACAAGAGGGGACGGTAGGGGACCATGAACAAAGCGTGCAGGTGCTGAGGCGGGCAGGTCTCTCAGTCGCTGCTGCTCCGCCTCCTCTGGCGACTGCTGCTGCGGCACCTGCCCCCGCTGCTGCTCCTGTGGCTCCTCCTCTACTCTCTCCTGCTGTGGCTGCAATAACACCTGCTGCTGCGGCCGGGACTCCTGCTCTACCCTCTCTTGCTGCGGCCGCAACTGCACCTGCTGCTGCAGGCGGGACTCCTGCTCTACTCTCTCCTGCTGTGGCTGCAACTTCACCTGCTGCGGCAGTCGTGACTCCTCTACTCTCTCATGCCGTGGCTGTGACTCCTCCTCTACTCTCTCCTGATGCTCCGACTGAGACTACTGCTGCTGCTGCTGCTGCTGCTGCTGTGACTCCTCCTCTACTCTATCCTGGTGTGGCTATGACTCCTCCTCTACCCTCTCCTGACACTCTGACTGAGACTGCTACTGCTGCTGCTGTCGTGCCCTCTCAAACCGCTCCCTCTCCTCCCTCTCCAATCAGTCCAGACGGCTGCACACGGGTCAGGAAGCGTACAGTGCGCGGTGTAGGCATCGCAATGTCCGTGTTTCCGGCTCCAGCATCCCCAGAACCAGAACCTCCCGCAACGACACCCCCGGTGTCTCTAGTACCTCCTGCAGGAACACCCCCAGGCTCCGCAGCGGCCGGCCGCGGAGACGTACAAGGAGGAAACTGTGGGACAGACGGGAAGCCAGGGGGTGAGGCGGGGCTAGGCCGCCGAGTCGAGACAGCTGTGTCCTCCATAGAAAAGGTCTCCACCCTCACACCCCTTGCACCCCCAAAGCCAGCAAATAGGTGCAGCAGCCCCAGTACCCCCACCCTCCGCAGCCGCACCTCCCGCACCCCCAGACACGACAGAAACTGGACGGTGCGGGGGAGACGACTGCGGGGTGACGTGCGACACACCTGATAGGGCAGGACGTGAAGGAGGGGGGGGGGGCTACCGGGACGACTTGGGGGGGCTCAGTGGTGAGGAACAGCGGGGGAGAGAAGGTCTCAGAACCTCGGTGTGGGCGACTCCTGTAGTAACTGACCGACTCGTCGAAAGTGACGTCCTGGGAACTGAAGTTTTGGCAGGTAACCGGGTCGTAGAACTGCCAGCCGGAGGTGTCGAGTGGGAAGCCAAGAAAGACGCAGGCACGGGTGCGCGGAGACAACTTGTTTGCGCCAGGGGCGCGAACATGGGCCAGGCAACCGCAGACGCGGTAGTCAGCTGCTACACCCGAAGAACCTGTCCGGCGTCACCCATGGCCGTGCGTCACTAGGCCACAGGTTCAGCTGGTGCGCGGCGTAGCGGACTGCCTAAGGCCACAGGAACTGGGGGGCACCGGCATGGCACATGGAGGTCCAGGCAACCTCCATGACCAGGCCGATGCGTCGCTCGGCTACCCCGTTCTGCTGGGGCGAGTCTGGTAGCGTGTAAGACTGGATGATCCCCCGACCCTGACAGAACGTCTCCAGGCGAGTGGAAGAAAACCCACCACCACGGTCCGAGTGCAGGCGGAGACCACAAAGGGCCTGGGCGTCACCCCTCGCTAGTAGCCACGGCTCGAGGGCGGTAGGCACGTCGCCTTCCGTCGCAAAGGTAAAACCGTGGTGTAGCAGGAGTAGTCGTCCACCACAATCAGGGAGTAGCGCTCCTGACGTGGGCCACGGACCGGAGAGGGGCCCCAGACGTCCAAGTGCAGGGTCTGTAAGGGAGCCGTGGTGGGGGGGAACGAGGAAGAGTGAGGGGCAGCGCGCTGCTGACCCTCGACTCAGGGAGTGCACGGCGGCGCAGGCGAGCGAGGAAGCGGGGCAAGCGACTCTGGAAGACCTGAGACAAGGACGGTGACGTACCATCCTACTCAGACGTGGGAACGACATGTGACCTAGACGGTGGTGCGAAAGGACCGACGCGTGGGTGAGTGACCGACAGTCGCACGACACAGCAGCTACCTGACCTGACCTGACCTGACCTGACCCAATGTGGTGGGACCCAGTGTGTATTGAGTACAGACAAGGGCCCGGCTCCCTGTGGAAAGTGGCCAGAGGCGCTCCAGTGGCACCGACAGTGCAGGAGGCAACATGCTCGTGCAGTGGGAAAGTAGTGACTATGCCTAGGTAGTGGAGGTGACTGACACCCACCAGGTTCCTGGAGAACGAGGGGGTGTAGTAACCTGTGAGAAACCCAGAGGGAGCTGCCGGACACGGGAGAGTGGTGGTGTTGTGGGCAACTACAGGTCCCACGGAGGGGTCAGCCAAGGCGACAGTGACTGGAGTGCGCAGTGGGGTGAGGTCAGTACAGTCGCGAAAGAAACAGCTGGACGCTCTAGAGTCTAGGGTGAAAGAAAGCTGTGCAGTCTGTGAGGTCGCACCCGAGTCAGCGACAAAGCCTAGGACTAGACTAGTGGTAGCTGCAGCTCCCACACTAAGAACCTGTGTGGCGCCTGGAGTGGAAACTACATATGCAGCAAGACTGGAAACACAAGTCTCAATAGTAGGTGCAGCTCCCACGTACCGGTGTGTGTACTGGCCGGTTCCGACAGCGCCCCGCGGTGGAGGCTGTCGCTGGCGCTGCTGCTGAACCCGCAGCTGCTGCTGCTGCTGCTGCTGCGGTGGCGAGTGCTGCTGCCGCGGCCACTGGTGCTGCGGCCACTGCTGCTGGTGCGGCCATTGCTGCTGCTGCGGCCACTGCTGCCGCGGCCACTGCTGCTGCTGCCGCTGTCGCCACATCGAAATGGCACGCTAGTACGGGGGGGAGGGGCCAGCCAAGGCGGTAGTACGAGTGGTAGGACGGCCTAAGCTGGTGCTGGGGCGACTGAAGGCGAACTAAGCTGTTGCTGATGCGCTAAACGCGGGTGCTCGCGCATCGTGACGCTTCATAGTAGAAGCTGATGCTGCCTGTGTATTTTTTTTTTAACTGAACCGAATTAATTAATTATTTTTTAATAAATCATGGAGGGCGCGGGCAGCCAAGAGAGGGACGCGGGCAGCCTAGGAAAGGGGGCGCGAGCAAATGCGTGCGCGCGGCTACCCGCGTGCGGTCGCATGGGCGCGGCTTGGTGAGCTTGCGCGCGCGGGCGGGAGCGTTTTTTATTATTATTTGTTTTGGCAATGCAAGTTACACTATAATAGCGCATACAAGCATTAACAGCTGTAACTGTCGCGGGCAGGAGATAGGGTTACGGGGGGGTGGAGGACGGGTGACAAGCGACAGGCGACGGGCTACGGGAGCTAGGGCTACGGGCGACGAGAAGGGTCCGCGGGGGCCGCACTACGGGACCAACGAAGGGCCCGTGGGGGGGGGGGGGGCGCGCTACGACGGACGAAGGGCCCGGGGGGGGCCGCGCTACGGATGACTAAGGCCCGCGGATGGGGGAGGCCGCGCTACGGGACGAACTAAGGCCCGTCGGGGGCCGCGCTACGGGACGGACGAAGGGCCCGCGGGGGCCGCGCTACGGGACAAACTAAGGCCCGCGGGGGCCGCGCTACGGGACGAACTAAGGCCCGTGGGGTGACGGGACTTGCCGAGGGCGCTACGGGCAACGGGCGGCGAACGAGTGGCGAACGTACGGCGAACGGACGGCAAACGGGAGGCTAACCGGCGGCTACCGGGCGGCTAGTAGGTGAAACCCAAAAACGAGCGAGCCAACAGGCGGCGAGCGCGCTACGGGCAGCTATCGAGCAACGATCGGGGCGTGCGGAGGTGGGCCCATGGGAAGCCAACGCATGAAGGGAGGGGGAAAAAGAGAGAGAAGGGGTTGGTAGGAACACAGGGAAACGAACGAGCAGGAGAAAGGGTAGGACTGAAGGATGTGGGAAGTCAGAGAAGCAGCATGGGGACGAAATTGGTAGGCCACAAACAACAGAGAGAATCTTTCGTCAATAGTTGCAATATCCATGGATTCTTGTCCTCTTCCCTCGTGTTCCCTGAGTACACGCTTCCTCCTGCCTCTCATGACTTGTAACGCCATTCCCATGACTTGTAACGCACCTTCCGTGACTTGTAATGTACCTCCCACTACATGTAGCGCTCCTCACATAGCTAGAAACGGACCTCTCACGCCTTGTAACGCTCCTCCCGTGACTAGCAACGCACCTTTTACGCCTTGTAACCCACTTTTTACGACTTGTAACGCACTTCTCGCAACTTGTAGCGCAGTTCTCACGACTTGTAACGCACCTCCCAGATGACGTGGAGCTCGGCCTCCCAGTCGCCGCGGCGAAGCGACGAGTCGTCGAGGTTCTTGTGCGCGTTGAAGAGCGTCTTGAGCTTCGGTACCTTGGGCCCGCACTGCCCCGCCCCCGCCTCGCACTTGCACCAGCAGTGACTCATCCTGACCCCAGATTCGCTAGTGACGACGGAGGGCTTGCTACCGACGACAGCAGTGGCTCATCTTGACCGCGGATTTGCTAGTGAGAATCGCAGTGACCCATACTGACCCAGGATTCGCTAGAGAAAGAATCGCAGTTACTCATTTCTATGAACTCTAAGGGTACATTCAAGGAAAAAGGATTCAGTGACGGCTATGGCAGCACGTGGTGATAGGAGTCGGCGAGAATTCGAATGTCACATGCACCTAACAATGGTCTCATGGCTTGCGTTATTTATTAGAAGTCCTTGTAGTTTCTGCAAACGGAAGCATTTGAGAAGTGAATCACACGATCGTTGTGGTATGATACCATCATTAGGAAGACTAGAAAACACGGTAACTTCAGAGATCAAAACTATTCAAGGTGAGAGGCGTCCCATGCATGGTCACGACTAGGACCTACTTTTGCTGTGCCGCTCGTTGCAACTCAAGTGCGACCAAGCCATGATCGGACGGCCATGACCGATTGTCAGCGAGGCTGACGGAATGTTATGGAACTTTTGAAAATGAGGTGACAGACTCAAGAGGACCCGAGACGCCATCTGTGATCAGTGCAAGCACCCGAGAAAGCACCTAGCCTGAGTTGCAGAATCTGGGATCCTCGATGTTGCCGAAGCAAGCTCCGTTATGCGTTTTGTCTGCTTCCATGGCCAGTAGCGAAAAGGTGATGCTGTTATCACCATTCTTATTTCAGTAGTGGAGCCTTTGAAGCCAACTCAAATACTGATATCAACACCACATCACAAAAACCCAACACAGTACAAGATAAGCTGACAAAATATCAGCAGCATATACATTGCAACTACAGGATAATTACCACTAAACGAACACTCTACGGCACACGGTCATAGTTTCAGTCTTGAAGTGAACTTAGTCCCTCCAAGCACTGCCAGCTCAGCAGCAACTGAAACCATCATGGCCTCCAGCTCATCCTTCCTATCTGACACAGGGGCCTCCAAGTTGTCCCCCGCAGTCAACGGGGTCAAAGCAGGAGCAGGAGCCTGTGCCAGCCCCTTTTCCCTTGCTGCACCCGCTCTCCAACTATCAGCTGCAGCGGCATCCATATCGTCACTGGTCCCGCTCGTATCTTCACTGGTCCCGCTCGTCCCACTGCTACCACTGCCACTGCACCTCCCACCAATGCTGATGCAACCCTCCTCCTCCGCTCCCACTCCCCCATCTCCCCCTCCCTGCTGCGGCACCGCCCCTCTCCCACCCCCACCCACCCCCTTCCCCCTCTGCCTGGGCACAGTCGCATGGCCCCACGCAGCAATACAAGCCCTCGTAGCCCGCCTCACATCCTCATCCCTCGCCGGCCCCAGCCCACACACAGCCGCCTGGATCACCGGCGGCGAGTCTAAAAACTGGAAATGCCCCGCGTCTCGCAGCACAACCTCCCAGCTGGGGTTACCAGCCTCTTTAAAGAACCAGCGGTAGTTGGAGGCGGCAGGGGCGCAGTCCCCAGGGTAGCCGCCGCCCACGACGAGCGTGGGGAGGGAGAGGGCCAGGCCCTGGTTGGCGGGGTTGGCATCAGCCAGAAGGTGTTCGATGGCACTGTTGCCTGCCCTCATGGCTGCCACTGCTGACGGGTAGCCGGGGGCCAGAGGCGCGTAGACTGCAGGGGTGAAGGTGGGGGGGAAGAGGGGTTGAAAGAGAGTTAGTTGAAGAACCAGAGGTTGGCGGGGTTGGGCTGGGCGAGGAGGTGCTCTATGGCACTGGTGCCTGCCCTCATAGTTGCCACTGCTGAGGGGTACCCGGGGGCCAGATGCGCGTAAACTGCAGGGGGGGGAGGCCCAGGAGGGATAGGGGGAAGGATACAAAGGGAGGGGTGACGGGGTGAGACGGGGCATGGGAAAACGGGTCAATGGCACTGGCGCACGAGCCATGCTCGTGCTGAGGGGAGGGGTACTGGACGACGAGGGTGGGGAGGGAGACAGCCAGGCCTTGGTTGGTGGGGTTGGGCTGGGCAAGGAGATGCTCGATGGCACTGGTGCCTGCATGCATGGCTGCTACTGCACACACATGTGTGATTAATTAACTATGTGCCCTGCACACACATGTGTCTGACGGGTGTGTGCTGGTGCTGGTGCTTGGGAACTCACTTGTGTTATCGACGGGGTCGACGAGGCCGAGGGAGAGCACTCGAGGGTCCATGGCTGCTGCCAGCACGCTCACCTTGGCTGCACATGAGCACACGCATGCATGGATGCACAGGGGATGGGTGGGTGTACGCCATACATACATTAGAAGGAACAGACACACACACATACATGAATGCACACACACACACACAAACAAAGGCACTTGAGGGTCCATGGCTGCTGCCAGCACGCTCACCTTGGCTGCACACGAGTGCATGCAGAAAGGCAGCAATAGTGACGATCGAGAGTAGAAGGAGAACGAAATACACACTCGGGAGCGAATACACACTTGCATACACGTGAAAGAGAATCACACAGGTGTTCACAGCACAGAAACACAATAGGGAAGCTCTATATCATGTGAAAAATAGAACTGGAAGAATGAATTGACTAGAATGAGCAAGTACAAGGGTAGAAAGAGCGAACCTAACCCTAGCACTAACCAAGGTGTACACCACCTAGACTAAAAAATACAAACTAAAACAAGGTCCAGCAGCTGGAACTCTGCAAGAAGAAAGCGAAGTCGGCGTCCCTCCTTGCCGGCTCCCGTGGCCGCCACATACTACGACTCGGTCGACGACAGCGTCGCGCACTTGATGCGCTGGCTCGACCAGGAGACGGCGGCCCCTTCGAAGATGAACACGTAGCCGCCCGTGCTCGTCCGGTTCTGCTTGTCGCCGGCTTCGTCGGCGTCCACGTAGCCGACCAGCTTCAGCAACTCTGGTCCACCGCCGAACTCCAGGGCGGTGTCACGGGTGTCGGCGAGGTAGGCGAGGCAGCGGTCGACCTCGCGCCAGCGCTGGTCGCTCCTCACAGTGAGGCCGCTCCCTAGCTTGCTGCAGGCGAAGTCGATGTCCGGCCTCGTCGTCGTCGCCGCGAACTGCAGCGAGCCGACCTTCTGGCGGTACACCTCCTCCTCGCGCTCCTGAGCCTCCTCGTTGTCGAACGTCAGCTCGGCGTAAAGGTCGACGGAGACCGGCGTCTTCGGGATCCGTCTGCCCTGCGCCTCGTCGATGAAGCGCCTGCGCAGCTTGTCGACATAGCTCTGCTGGTGCAGCCACAGGCCTGTTGACATACCTCTGCCTGTCGCGCACGATCTCCATGCCGAGGTACTTCACTACTGGCGAGATCTCACGCAGCTCAAAGGCATCCTCCAGCAGCTCGAAGGCGTCCTCCAGCAGCTCCTCAGCTCCTTCAGCATCGCGGTGCTGCTGCTGGCGACGAGCATGTCGTCGACGCCCAGCAGGTCACGCCGTCGTCGCCGACCATGATGTACAACGCCTCGTCGACTTGGCTCTTCTTCCAGTCGGCCCCAAGAAGCACGACGTCGAGCGCCCTGTACCACAGCAGCGGCGACTGATTCAGCCCGTAGATGCTCTTTAGCAGCTTGTACACCCGGCCGGCCCCGTCGTTGTACTAGTCCGGCTGGTACATGTATAGTACCCTGTCGAGGTTGCTTTGCAGGAAGGCGTTCTTCAAGTCGAGCTGCATCAGGTTGAGGTCGAGGACAGCGACAATGCTGAGGAAGATCCTCAGCGTCACGTAGCTCCCGACCGGCGCATAAGTCTCGTCGTAGTCGGCGCCGTACACCTGCGTGAAGCCCTTCAAGTCCAGCCTAGCCTTCTCGCGCTTGACGGTGTCGTGGATGTGGTACTTGGTCATCAGCACCCAGCGGATCTTCATGATGTTGACACCGCGTGGGCGTTCGACCAGCTCCCACGTGCTGTTGGCGATGAGGCTGCGGATCTCCTCGTCCATGGCGGCCTTCACCGGCTTGCCCTTCTAGCTCGCCAACGCCTCCTTCACCGTCATCGTCGCGATGTCCCAGCGGTGTTCAGGGTCGGCGTGCATGCCGGGGTCGAGCTCAGGCAGGTCGACATCAGCGTCCGCATCGTCGAGAAGGGTCGTGAAGGCGGCCGGCGGCAGACACACGTAGTAGGCAGCCGCTCTGGCGCCCTCCGAAGTCGGCCTGATCGTCGCAGCTCATGCTCCTCGTCGTTGACCTCCACCACGTCGCTGTCGGTGGTCACCACGCTCAGGGTCCTCATCAGCAGGCTCGCCGACCTCGGCGAGCAGTGGGAGTGTCGCCGTCGAGGTGTCCGACGGCGGGTTGGCCTGCGTCCGCCCCGACGCCGGCCCGTGCTCCGACTTCCACACCTCTAGCGACATCGTCTCGTAAAACACCACGTCCGACGTGGTGACCACCTTGTTGTCGGTGAGGTCGAGGACCTCCCAGCCCTTGCTCTCCTCCGGCACGCCGAGATGAAGCCCCCACCTGGCCTTCGGCGCCAGCTTTCCACCGCGCTGCTGCTTGGGGACCAGGAAATGCGCCATGCAGCCCCACACACGGGTCAGCGTCAAGTCGGGCTTCTTGCCGGTCAGCAGTTGGTACGGTGTCGTCCCCGGCGGCAGAGTCGACCTCTCCAAGCAGTTGCGGACCCTGACGGCCTGCCGCAGGGCGAGGTGCCACCATTGGTGCTGCACGCCCATGTGCAGCAGCATCGTCCGCACCGACTCCACCGTCCGCATCTCCCGCTCCGCCATGCCGTTCTGCTGCGGGGTGTAAGGGCAGGTTAAGTCGTGGACGATCCCTTTGCCGTCCACGAAGTCGGTGAACTGCTTCCCGAGGAACTCCCCTCCGCGGTCAAAGCGCAGCATCAGCACCGACTTCTTCGTCTGCCGCTCAGCCACCAGCAGCCATTTCTCTAACTCCCGCAGCACGTCAGACTTCTTGGCGACCGGCCTCACCCACACGTAGTGGGTCTTGCGGTCCTTCAGCAGCAAGATGTACAGGCTGCGATGGCGGCCACCCGAAACGGCCCGCACATGTCGATGTGCACGACGGCCAGGGCGTCGTCAGCGTCTGAGCCCTAGTCGGGGAAGGTGTGTCGCGCCAGCTTCCCGCCGACACACGAGACACACGGAGAGTCGGTGCCGGCCGACGGCTTGATGTCCAGGCCGGTGGCAACTTCGTGCTTCGCCAAGCTCGTGATGGTGTCGACGCCGACATGTGCAAGCCTCACGTGCCATCTGGCCGGCGTCGACTTCGTCGCCGTAGCGATGGTCCGCACAGCCACCGTCGCTGTCACGGCCGTCGTCGACATCGCTGTGCACGGTCGCAGGTCGGTGCAAAGGACCCGGCCGGTGTACTTCGCCCGACCAAGCACGTCCCCCGCCGCCGAGACGAGCAGCATCTCATCGCCAGCGTCCTGCAGTCGCACGCCGCTCTCCTGCAGCTGGCCGGCTGACAGCAGATTTGCCTGCACACCCGGGACGTAGAGGACGTCGGGGATGAGCACCTGCTTCCCGGCCTCGCCTTGCAGAGCGACGGTCCCGCGGCCCTGGCCGGTCTGCAGCGCCCCATTGAAGCAGCGCACGTGCTTGAAGTCGCCGCTCGGCCCCAAGACGACGAAGACCCCCATTTGTCCCCATCAGGTGGTGCGAGCAGCCGCTGTCGAGCAGAACCACCGCCGGGTTCGCTTGCACAGCGGCCGCCACCGCCTAGAAGTCCTCGCCGGCCTCCGGCGCCAGTGAGATGGTCGGCTTCACGACGCCGACCAACGAGCACGACGCCTCCCCGTTGCCTCGCCCCTTGCCGCTGAAGGAGGAGTCGGTGTCCTTCCCGACGTCGTCGACTTGGTCGACTGCTTCTCCTTGCGCGTCTTGCTATCCCGACGTGGTCGACGACCGGCCGACCTCCCTTGGTCTGGTGTCGTCGTCGTTGGAGTCCTCGCGGTCGGTACACTCGAACGAGAGGTGGTCGGGATCGCCGCAGAGCCAGCACTCCCGACGCTGACCTCCGCCTGTTGGCATCCTTGGCCGGCCTCCCACAACTCTACCACCGCCGCCAGGCTTGCCGCATTGCCCCGGCCGACTTCCTTGCTTTGTCGGGGCGACGTAGTTCGCATGCGGCAGGAGCTCCGTGGACCTCTCGGCCTCCTGCATCGCCTCTTCCCTGAGGATGTACGAGGTCAGCGTGTCCTCGTTGAGCGACTCCCGCGTGCCAGGCACCACCATCAGTCAGCGCATCAAGTTGTAGCCGCTCGGGAGCCCCTTGACTACGTGCGCGATGTACGACGCCGCGAGTACTCGACGTCGGCCATCCGCATATTGGCAAGGAGCCGCCGAGCTCGGTTACAGTAGTCGGACGCCGTCTCCTGCTCGCCCATCCTCAAGTGCGTGAGCTGCTCCTCCAGCTGGCCGATGTACAGGTCGTCGGTGTCTTAGTATGTCGACGTCATGAACCACCACGCCTGGTGGCCGGCATCAGGGCGATCTGCACCACCGGTGAGCAGCACCGCGAGATGACCATGAAGGTGTGCAGTTGAACGGCTGCAAACTCCGCAGCTCGGCGTTGATCTCCGGCGGGGTCTCCACGCTGCCGTCGGCGAAGCACATCAGACCGGCCATCTCCAGCTGGGGCTCGATGGACTCGTTCCACGTGATGAGGTCGTGCCGACCGACCAGCGCCACGGGGACGACGACCTTGTCCAGCGAAATTTTGAAGTAGCCGTAGGTCAGCGCGACCCCGCCCGCTGTCACGTGGGTCGCCGACGCCGGTGTCACGCTGCTTCGACGTCCACCGACGTCGCCTTGCGAGGTGCCCGAAGCCGCCGACGACTGCAGCCCTCGCGCCTGAACGCCGCCAACTTCACCGGCGTGAATCAAACCTCTCTACCTCGACGTGCCTCCCGCACTGCTGCCGACTTGATCACCGCCGTCGACGTCCTCATCGAAGCCGACTTCGTTGCGCAGCGGTTGAGGAGAAGCAGGTCGGGAAGGGTGCTCCGTCGCCCACTTTGCACGGATGCCCAGCTCGATGACCTAACCTCGCCAACCTCGTGGCGTCTCTACGCATCAGCT